CATACATATATGAACAGCCCTTAATTAATAAGCCTCTACATACAGGTATGGAAATGAACATTTCTCTATTCTTAACAGGATTCAGTTCACTGGAATTCAGCTTCTGGATTTAGTTTGGTCACTCAGAACAAAGTGTGTTTAGATAAATTATAGTCATGTATTTATCTGAAGCACAGGAATAGTGTGGTCTTCTCTATTGACCATACAGTGTAGCTGAGAAGTTAAAATGCCATATTAATCCCCAAAATGTATTGCAAACAGTACTGTCATAATGAGAGGCTAGGTGGAAAATCATACAATTTTTGAGATAAAGTGAAAACTTTAAGAGAAATGTAAAGCAAGTTTCTGAGAAAAAGAGTATTTATTTTGATATATATTTATCTATATTGTATAAATATATTTTCTAAAATATCAGAAGATAATTTTGGTGAAAAAATGGTTTGTCAGCGGACTATAACATTTCGCCTGAAAATTCTGAAGACTAAATTGAATCTTTCTGGGTCAAAAATGGCAGAAATTTCATGTCATCTTTTTAGTTTTTTATTTGCTTCTTTTAGTCAAAATTCTGTTAGGAGATATGGGGGAAGAACATAGAGATGAATAAATTGAGGTTCTTATCTATCAGTAGCTCATAGGGAAGATAAAACTATTTAGTCAAGAAGGAAGAAAAAAGAAAAAAGTTTTAGGGTGGGTGCAAATAAAATACTCCGAAGCCACAGAGAGTTCTAGTTGAGGGAAGCAATGGGAAGGCTTCATGTCACAGGTGGTCATGACCAGTAGGTATTGGCCAAGATTTATGGTAAGAGGTGTGCACTCCTGGCAAAGGGTGCACAACAGAAATGAAACGGTATTTTTGCTAAGGTAGTGTTCCCCAAAACACATGCCATTTAGCTGAATACCAGCTGGTATTATATGAAAGCTCTGCCTAGAGTTACCAACTACAGCATGACAGATAAATAAAGAGAAGACTGTGGAAAGAGCTGGGCAAAGGTATGCACAAAGCTCATGAGGAACTCCCTAAAGCAAAGTGGGAGGTCAGAAGTAGGCCACTAACAGAAGGGAGGAAAGTGAATAGGCCTAGATTGTGGATTTGAGAGGAATGGGAACCTCTGCAATGGATATCTGGGAAATGCATGAAGCATAAGTGCCACTGAGAGATGAATAAGGCTGAAGACAGTCAACATGGGATCTGACAAATGTTAGCAGCAATCATCATTCCACTTTCATGACTGTGCTGCTGTGCGTCCACCCCTGGCTGTTCCACTTCATGCTCTGGTAATACAAATGAAAGCAATACTAAGAACCTGTAAGTTCCCAATCTTTATTTAAAGGAAAGACTGAGCTGAAGGCACACTTGTAAGCATAGGTGGGTGTTGAGAGCTATAGAGGCTGCAGATTTAACTTTTAGGTGTTCCTTACAAATTAGGTGGCCAGAGACCAAAATGGCCAAGCCAGGCAGGGAAGACTACATGTTTTTAAGTTAGGAGGAAAATTTGGGTGCATATCACAGAATAATGGATGTACAGAAAGAGTCTGTGAGGTCAACAGTAATTGTAATAATGACTATGATCTCTAAGAAATGATCAATGTAAATGGTAAGAAATATTGCAACAGTGA